CCCCAAAACCCCAAAACCCCAAAACCCCAAAACCCCTTTTCACTTATTACAAATGTTATAATTATAAATATGAACAGAGCTTCAAGAATAAGCCTGAATAAGAACTTACGTAGGAACAGAGGTAGAGATAGGAGGAGGAATTTGGGAGAGAACATGGGTTGGACGGCAAATGGGTAATGTGTTTGTGGGGGATAGTAGGTATAAGACAGATATGTTCTTAAGGTTTAAAGAGAGTCAATCAGAGTATCGATACTCGAAGTTCATCAGAAGAAGAGGTAGAACATTTATCCAAAACTTATTTCCTCCTTCAAGGTATTAAGCTTTAGCTGTGCATTCCAACAAGTGCTAGCATGATATTACTTAATCCAGATGGAGAGCCACCTTTGGAAATATGTAATGGTTAGCCTCTTTGTCATACTTATGATGCTGATTTATTTCCTTCAAAGCCAAACTATTCAAATTAGGCAATATGTCCTAATGCTACAAATAATATTACTGGCTGTGATTACTACTAGGGATCAGACAGAAGGAGATACTGATGACCTTCGAGTTTATTTTGGCACTTTCATTAATTTCATCTCTTTTGGAATGAGCTGGATCGAGTATTTTGTATTTTCAATTATGCTTAATATTTGAAGATGCCTATTCAAAGGATTTCCTCTATACTTCCTCATATATACACAATGGTTTTATCTCTCAATCTCATGTACAGTGTTTGCGTTCGGAGAGAGAGCTTTCAAAGAATGCTGGGTTCTATGTGATTCTCATAAATAAGTCTTTTGATATTTTCAGAGGCCTTTTTGAATCAAATCCAAGTCCATCTTTTATTTTGGATAAAAATGGCAAGATCCTATACACTAATAAAGCCGGAGTGTCTATTATTGACAAGAGATATACCAAAGTTAGAAATAAAGTAAGTTGTACATACATCTAAAAAGTTCGTAGTCGAAAGAATTTCCCTAAGATTTCTAATACATATCAGAAAATGTTAAAAATATGGCTTGAGAATACACTGTTCTTAAGGTTTGGTTATATCTCCGACTTTACTTAATACAGACCAAGTCTAGATGGTCTTTATGCGAGATTATGAGGGTTAGGTCGATCTCACTATTAATTTTACATTAAATGTTTGTAACTTTAACCTACATCTGCATAATATGTTTATCTAAATCATGTTTAGAATGCCTTGCAGAATATATTTTCATTAGTTCATGAAACATCAAAAGAAAAGCTTGAGACTGTGATCAAATCTGTGCTAAGTAATGAAGAATCTATAAAAGATGAAAGCCCGTTCATTGCATTTCTTCAGAATTTAGACCCTGATGGTGAAAATGAAACAGGTGGCGATGACATTACTCCACTTATTCAGGCTGATCAAGTTGTATATTATTTAGCAAAAGTAAGACTTTGCTCTTGGAAGTCAAGTAGTTGCTTAGTTCTTTCTCTAGAAAATTCCATGGGTGAGCTTATTAAAAATAAAATCCTTAACTGCCATGCTACTCTTATTATGTCTTTGGCTGATAGTGTATCTAAAGATCTGGATGCCATGGAGATAAGAGCCTCTAGTGGAAAGCTTATCCCTTTAAGTCAATGGGCTGGAGTTATGCGTTTGTCACATCAGCTAAGGACTCATTTCCAAAACATGAATACCATCCTGAGTGCAGCTCATGGAGGTAATGATAACAAAGTTGAAGAGTTCATCTTGACAGATGAAATAAGAGATTTGTCCAATCAGGTTGCGCTATCTCTCACTGAACATGAGTTTGATGTCAACTTATCTTATGAAGGTGGGATTCCTGAAAGTGTATTTGGAAATCTCCCTCGGTTTAAGCAGATAATATCTATCTTGTTTACCACCGGCCAGAAGCAAGCAACTGCAGATAATCCAATGGCTTGTAATCTGAAGTTCCTAAGAATGGATCACCAGAAATAACTGAATTATTGGTATTGAAATTAGTTTTCCTAAAGGACAAAGTTTACAGGTTGAGAAGCTCAACAAGATTTTTATGAACACTTCCTTAGGATCTGATTTCTTCCTCCAGTTTAAAGAAGAACTCCAGGAATATGATCTAGGCTTGTTCGTATTAGGCAAGCTTACTGAAGAAGATGGAGGTAGCATTCGTGCAGGTGAAATCGAAGAAGATACAATAATCATTTGGCTTGAAATGTCCTTTAGTTTTCTGAACAGAGGTAGGAAGTATTGTGGAATAGAAAATTTATTGAGATATAGGAATATCACAGGGGGTGGAAATGATTAATCATCCGGCTAATCCAGCTCAATGACCTCAAAAATTTACTGAAGATGATAAGCAGGTGGCTAATATTGATAAAAATGTTAGTCCAATAAGTGGAGAGGCAGGGTTTAGTAATCCTGTTAGTGAATCTAGCTCTTCACCAACAAAAAGAAAATTCTCAATACAGAAAAGCTGTAGAACTTATGTAAATCTTACTAATGCTATGAATTGCTCAAAAGGAACGCCTAAACCTTTGAATACAAACCACCGATATAGTGGCTCTTCAAATATCAAAAAGAAAGTAAATATAGCAAGAAAGCTTACTAACCAAAACCAACTCTCTGATGGTAAAATGAAGTTCTATGAGGCTCCTGCTTCTTATAAAAAGCTGAAAAAATCACGACTATTAAACATGAGGAACTTTAAAACAGACATGCATGACTTAGAATCCAAGGTAAAGGTTGCTTTAAGGTCTCACCGTAACTCAAACCCTATGAAGTAAGTCTATCTACCCTTCCCAATCCTTCCTGAGCCTTCACAATTTTAAACTCCTAATTAAACTTGCTAATTTCCAGCACAAAATGTTTCAAAATGCTGTTTTACACTTGAAGTCTTCGAAATTCCTTTAAAATATTTCTCATAAATTTCCCTGTAGAAATCATAACCAGATATTCCAGGTTCCTATTGAAGAAGCCAAGAATTTGTACTCAGAGTCCTACGATGTGATGGAGTACGAGGAAGAAGGAGGAGAAAGCGAGACTGATGAAGAAATTGAATCGGGAAAATTACAAATGCTTGTCCAAAACCAGTAAGTTAAAGCTTTGCATTGGAGTGAAAAGATATAGAAATGAAGCAAACCAGCTTATACAACAACATACTGTTGTGAAGAATGCGCCCGGACCTCAGAAAATGAACTTTCAGACATAGGCAGGCTTGACAGATGTGATAAACTTATGTACAGGATGGGCGAAACTCATCAAAATATACAATCCTTTGAAAGTGACAATTCAATGAGTATTTATTTCTCTGACCTTTAGATGAGTCTGATGGAAATACAAGAACTGTTAATTATGAAATACAGTACGTTTGTACATCCCTGTTAAGCCATGCAACATGTTTTGGCAAGCTTGCTATATAATTTTTATTTTGCTTTATTTAGGATGCCAAAAGTGTCAAGGTATTCAATAACACAAAGGGTATGATTTAAATTATTAATTGGTTCAGAACGAAAGGCATACAGGAGATGAGACTGTGTTACCGAAAAGGTCCCATAGCCCAGCTTGTAAGAAATGCTAATTCAATTCATTTTGCTAGAAAGTTCATTTGATTCTATTTAACCCAAAATCTAATAATCTGTGTAGGAATAGTGATGCCTTCTAAGAAGATATTTACTAGAAGAAAACAATCCCAGATTGATGTTAATGGTCCAAACTTACAGTAAGCTGGCAAATTGGTTTAAATAACCCTGTCTAGTAATATTGAAGTATTACAAACTCTCAGAGTTCCAAAACATGCTCTTGAGTATGACTTAGGCAACGGTGATTGTGAAGAAGGAAGTGAAAGACTTAATGATAATTTCTCAAAATACAGCGTAATCTTAACATTCACTTTAACTTTTTATTTTCCTTACCTGTAATCTAGGTTGGGGTTACTGAAAATTATGGCTACTTCAGTTATCGTAAAGGTATTTTTCATCTATTACTCTTCCAGATTATCAAAACATTGAGAATCCTAGTAGCAGATCTAAATCCAGGATTCCTCGATATTATCGGACAAAGAGAACTATCGAAATACAGCTGCTCCTGAAAGATTTAGATTGTATGGAAGTAAAAGAACAATGGAGCTTTGAAAATTAGTGACTAAAAGAAAATCAACTGTTGAAAAGTTACTTTGTTTTAAACTATATTTATTAAATCCTTGTAACACAAGTTAGAACTACTAATAATACCTTTTATGATATTTCTAAGCATTATTTGGTAGACTTCAAACAAATATTTAACAAAGGCGATATTCTGCTAAGTTATATTATAAATTTTTACCCAAATACTAAATTTTTAATAGAAACTTTCAACTTATAAAATATTTTCTTACCAAGACTAATCAATGTCTCTCAATGCTTTATTAAAGGGGTTCTTATTAAAAATATTGGCCAAGAAATAAGGATAATAATGAACAGTCTCAAGATGCTCAATTTCTTAGACTCTGTCTCATAGATAAAAAGGAATGTGTTCTCAGAGCTTAGATTTGATACTTTAAGTCTGAAATGAATAAATATATTATTCAACCATTATGAAAGTTGAGGGGTTTTGGGGTTTTGGGGTTTTGGGG